ATTTGTTGCCAATCCAATCGTTGCTGCTGCTGCTGCTGCTCCTCCTCCTCTTACTGCTGCTGCTGCTGCTACTGTGCCAACTGTGTCAGTTTCAAATTACAAATGCATGAAATGCTTACCCAAACAGGTCAGCCTGCAAATTCGCGGTGAATTGTGGAACACTAAAACTGGCAAGCAGAGTGCCACTGTACACTGGACATTGTACATTGGCAAATCAATTAGATGATTATATCATTAGGAAGAAAACATGGTAACCAGGAAATTAACCAACGTTTGGGTAGCTAATTGGCTGCCTAAATGGCTCAAGTTGTTCGTGTGGAAATTCATTGAGGAAGCGAACCCTCCTAAGCACCCAATCCGGCTTCAATGAAGCGCAGAACGTAAAGTGTCCTCGGCCACACTTCATTGAAGGCTGTCAAGAAATTTTCAATTTAGCAAATTAGTTGGACCCGGTCCGGAGACGACAGATGTGTGTTCAAAGGAAATATCCCAGCCAGCAAGCAGCAGCAAAAGAAATTAGTATTAAATGAAATGTAATGGTGACAACGCCGACTGAAAATCGCCAGCTGACAATAATGAGCGGGCCAGCACAAAGGATCTTTCTCTAAGCTCTTTTAACAATTGCACGAAAGAAAATGGTGTGGAAAACCCACCCCGCCCCCACATTTAAACGTATTTTTTAAAGCAAGCGCCAGAGAAAAATGAAAACCAATACGCATAAATAATAAAAAGAGCATAAAAGCAGAGGGCGGGTTCCACTGAATACATAAATCATTGACTCCAAAATGAAAAGCTTTGCGCAACAGGTCGTCGAAACAATAAAAAAAAAGCGACCCAAAGCCCTTCCCATAAACCCAAGCCCCAACTGTCGGCGTCGGGAACGGGTATTAAAGGTGCCATGGTGCTGCGTTTGACCGACGCCAATGAAATAAATGTTCAACTCGAAAAAATTAGAATTAATGGCTTGGAATATATAAAGCCGCCCACCACTGTGGTCGGCTATAACGTAACTGAAACTCAAAGTGATAGCCGCGAATCCCATATTAATGGTTTATTGTTTAACGATTCAATGTTTAGGATTGTTCAATAGTTTTAGAATTTACAGAAAATGAGAGCAAAAACTGAGCTATTGGTACTCATTCTTTATACTTTTTGTGCACATTTAAGCTGGAATCAATAACCAATTTCGTTTGAGCTTTACTAATGAAAGTGCCCTGTTGGCGCATCATTATAATAATGTGGTATGTACATATACGGAAACATATCTGATAAATGCTTGGCTCATAATTATGAGCTCCATGCAATTCCTGGCTTACAGTGGGATCCGAGATGATTAATGCTCAGAGTAAAGTATTATGTTTTTCTGGCATTGCAATTTGAACATTTTTTTTCAAACTCATCCCCCTCCCCCACCCCACATTTGAGCCAGACTAATGACCCTCAGAGCCCTTCAAACAGTTTAAATATTTGTTTGTACATATTTCCTTTTTGTTGTTTTTGCATTCGACTGAAAATTGAAAGTAAAAAGCGCAAAACAGAACAGAGTACGAGCTCGTATGTAAATGTTTTCATGTAACACGCTTGTCGGCGTCAACAAGCCTTGGAAACTTTACGCATAATTTTATTTATATGCTGTGGCATACAAAGACACACAGCGCTCCTCTCTGTTGCACAATGGGAATAAATTATGTCAAAAGCGTGTGTGGAAAACCTTTGTGTGGCCCCGCGTTTTTGCCGCATGCTTTGCGACGCAATGAGAGTTTCCCTTTTGGCGGACAAATAATTGAAAGGTTCGCTTGCATGCAACTCTACGTCTACGTTTATTACTCAACAGCTTCAAAAAGGAACTACTTATTTAAAGCTATGCTTCTAGTGGTATATAAATATTGGAGGTCATCAACGAGTTAGTCCGAGATCCAGTAGAACAGTAGAACAGGCTCAAACCAAGAAGTAGTGCTGTGAAGAAGCAATGATCTCTGAGGATGTGCAGCCAAGCATTAAATTGTATGGTTTACCTTGGGATCTGCCTTTTTCCAGCACTGATTGAACCACCAGGCCTTCTGACACAATGTATCACCCTCGGGATGCACGCAATCCTTTGACATTTCCATAAACTTATCGCGAATGGAAAGTGGAACGGTGTCGAAAAGTTTCTCCAAATGCACATCGCCATTATCGTCGACCACTTCGATCTCGTGAAAGAAACAATTCATGTAGCACTTGAGTTTCTCGTCCTCGTGTATCTCGCCGTCGCTGAACTCCTTGATGGATGCTGACAAATCGGAGTGCAAATGAGGCAATCCCAATTGCTGCAATTATAGGTTCACTTTCGGTCGACTACTCACCCTCGCTGACGCCCGTTTTCTCCACACAGGAATCGTGGAAGGGCTTCGCCATTTTCATTATGCCCGGCGGTGGATACTGCAATTAAAAATTGTTGCTTAAGTAGGCGTGGCACTGCATGGTCTGCACGGCCAGCACGGCCAGCATAGCCCGCATAGCCAGCCAGCACTTCATTAACCCACGTTCTCGTCACGCTGCGCCGCAGCTGGTGGCAGCATCAGCGCCTCGCTGAGCAGCGACAAGGCGATTAAGAGGACGGCTGCACTGACAGGACGACGAAGGCGGCGTCCAAGCTGCTGCTGCTGCTGCCGACCAAAGCCATTCAAAGCCATTTTAACGTAGCCCGTTTCGTGTCGTTTCGTTCAGTTCCGTTCCGTCTGTGCTGCAGCTGCAAAAATTGCTCCGTCGCTCGGCCTTGTTTGTGAATTGTGAATGAAAAAAAAAACCAAAACAAAAAAAAACGTGAAACAAAAGCGACGATGCATAGCAGGTACACGGCACGGCACAGGTACGAGGGCAAGCGTCGCGTCGCGTCGCATCGCGTCGGAAGAACAAGGATGAGAATGCGAATCCGAATCCGAATAAGGATGCGAATGCGGATGAGGATGAGGATGCGGATGCTGTTGAGGACGATGTGCCACGCGTGACAGCTGGACAATGACAATGTGTGTAATTGTGTGTGTATTTGTGCGACGCTTTTCTAAGCCCTCGCGTTTTCCTTTTCATTTCAACTGTTTTTGTTTGTTTTTTTCTTATTTTTATATTTTTTTTTGTATATTTTTCTGTTGCTGCTGTACGTATTTTTGGAAGCCATGGTGAAACCAACAAAAAATCATTTGTTTCTTGTTGGCTCAGCGCACGCTAAATTAATTCCAACCGCTGGCTGATGGGCGAACAAAAAACGCTCACCAAAACGGAAACGGAACTGTGCCCGAGATGTCAGGCAAAGTAGTCACAAGTCTACAATTGTCGTGTTACTTCTGACTAACACATGGCCACGTGGCATGCCTCTACCACTGGCCACAATCCACGCTCTATGCTAAAACATTGCCTAGCTTGAACAATTTTATAACTCATCGCTTTTATTAAGAGCATAACGAATGCCCACATGATCCACAAAGCCAACAGTAACACTATTTATGGTATAATTAATCAACAAAGTGTCATTCCTGATGGATCGCTATCTGGTAAGCCTCGAATAGATCAGGTTATATTAAAAGGTTCTGCTCAATTCGGAAGGATTTTAGTATGTCAATTAGCTTTCCTTCAAATCTCTGCCCCTTAGCTAATATACCCAGCAAATGTCAAGGAATGTAGGGTACGAAAATATAAAATTTCCCATTCGTTCTGTTCTTTTGAAATTGTCAAACCGAAATACACAAAACAAAGACTTCAACTTGTGCACAACTGTCACTTTTGTTTCATCAAATGTCAACGCAGAAACCGGAACAAAACCACAAAACGACATTGCCCCCGTCGTCTCTCACAGACACACACACATACAAAAAAAAAAAAACACCCACACAGAAGGAGGAGGGACTGAAATTACAGCAACAACACACATCTTTGTGCTACACACGAAATGTATGTTCGTATCACAGTTGTGTGCGGCATGAACGATGGATGGTTTTTTAATTGCCGTTTCAATTTTCGTGTTGCAAAGCGTCCTTTGCCTATGCCTGCGCAAGCTTCCACCTCGCACTCGAGCTCGCCTTCGTTCTGGTCGTACTCCTGCGCCTGCTCCTGCTCCTGCTCCTGCACCGGCTCCTGCCAGTGGCAGTGGCAATCTTTTACCCTTTTCTGTACTTCACTGTACCTGCGATGTAGTACGAGTAGTTATGGGGGGTGGGGGAAAAATTCGATACTGTACACGCCACGCAAGAACTGTTTGACAACCGCAGTCACAATTGAATTTGCTTTATTGCCGTTTTCAGCATTTGGCTTTTATATTGATTTTGGCCAAGTTCTGACGCTGACGCTGCTGCTGCAGCTGCCGCTGTTGCTGTTACTGCTGCAGGCAGTTACCGAACCAATTGACGCCCCATGCCATTGCGAATGTCTCTATTCAATCCACATATGCGAGTGCGAGTGCGAATGTGAGTGTGAGTGCGAGTGCGAGTAAGGTGCATGTACAACTCGAGTGCTGATGCATGCTGCCCGCGGCCACACCCACTGGCGTGTCTTTAATCATTAGGCGGAACATTTTGAAGTTCTGCCCCACCGACATGCCCATACAAATGGAAATGTTTTATGGGTCAAGCCAGGCCAGACGCAGACGAGGCGAAAGAAATGGGAACGAGAATGAGAACGAGAAAGTTGAATGCTGCAGTGTGCAAAAGGTAATCAAGGTAAAGCCATCCCCACAATTGCGACCACAGCCTTTGTTAAGTAGTCCTGCACTCAGCTCAGACTAGACCAATGGATTCTTCTTAAGTGAAAAGCCCAATGGCACTTGTTTGAATAGCTATAGCAGTTGGACGCGTTAAACTCTGAGGTAGGAATATGAAACAGAAAAAGACTCGAAAGCAGCACTTCTAGGGGCCAATAAAGACTCCAATTTTAGGTAAACCTTTTCAAAATAACTAAAATAAACCATCTTACACTGAAATACTGTTTCATTAAGGTGGAATTATTTGAAAATTATATTAAGGTATAGATTAATTTTTCAATGAACCTTTAACCTTTATTAAACAAATATAAACACACATTCGCTAATATATAAATATCATATGTGGCATTCACATCTTAGACCAAGAAGTAGTGGACAGGATCTGCCTTCTTCCAGCACTGATGGAACCACCAGGCCTTGTGGCACAAGGTGTCGCCCTCTGGATGAATGCAGCCCTTGGAGGCCTCCATCAATATGTTGCGCAACTTTGCAGTTGGTATGGAATCGAATAGTTTCTCCATATGCACATCGCCATTATCATCCACCACATCAAACTCATGGAAAAGACAATTCATGTAGCACTTGAGATTCTCGTCCTCGTGTATCTCCCCGTCGCTAAACTCCTTGATGGCCGCTAAAGAAACAAAAATTTAAGAGTAATCGATTAATTGGATAAGAGCATGACCTACCATCAGTGACACCAGTTTTGGGTGCACAAATATCGTGGAAGTGTTGGGCCATTTTTAAAATTGCTGGCGGTGGATACTGTGGCAAGAGAAAAATAACTGAAAACACACATCGCAGCAATGTTATTTATTGATCAACTACAAACCTCAGCATCCCGTCTAGGTTCCTGGGCAGCTAAAGAGCCAAGCAGCAGCATGAGCAGAGCAACAGATTTCATCATTTTCAGGCAACGAGTTTGCAAAAACACTGAACCGACTGAGGGCTAAGGACTGGCCTTTTATGAGATTTGCAGCTGAATGGTACAAATGGGATTTGATATTCGGACATGATGACTGTCATTAGAGACACTCCAAACGCACACTAATTGCAGGTTGCCATTGCAATCGAATTGCGATTGCATTTGGCGGCACGCGAGCCGCACAAATGAATAAATGACAGCATACAGAGCACCAATTGATGGCAAAATCTCAAATGAAAACTAAAAACTGGAAACTGGAAAACATATAAATTAAGCCACGATTGTATGTGGCGGGGAACTAAACTTTTTCAAATATCGAATTTTGGGCGGTGGCAGCCCCAGGAGGCTGGGCCGATCGGAGCACTTTATTTGTGTGGGCGTTGCAGCACGCACACAAACCAGTGGAAGTGCGGCGGGGGGGGGAGTGACTTCTGTTCTGTTGTGCGGGGGGGAGGGAAAACATGTCATAAAAGTCAAATAATGCTTGGCACACAAGAAAAAAGTACATGTCAAATTCAATTCAAAATTGCGTTTCTTCTGACATGGCCGCATCAGCGAATTCGCACAGACAAGAGTGAAATATTTGAAATGCTCAACATAACTCAATTGCCTTGAAGTGTGGCTGGGCTGATGTGTGGATGTGTGTGTTGTGTGGTGCTGCTGTGTGGGACGCAATCAACCAACGCAGCTCCGCTGCAAATATAATACAAGAACAATTCTTTCAATATACATTTTGAAATAACAGTCAAATTCAGCTTCAATCCTAGCACTGATTATCCCCCCCGCCCTTTTTATGGTAAATTATAAATTAGACTGTGTACCTACATAGGGTTAGTGAAAGCTTTTGCATGTTCTTCGATTCTTACTACAGCATCTTAACATACATAGAGAGAGGAGTGCACTTGCTGACTAATTGGAAAGCCCTTTGCTTTGAATTATCCTCATTTTTGCTTCTTACTACAATGGCAAATAAATCCCTACACTAAGGGAAAAACCACTATTAAATTGGAAATAATATTCAAGCTTCTAGAATATATGTATAATATGTTTCTTTTAGTGTACGCAATGCACTTCAATCAATCGTGAAATCAAAGCAATTTCTATGCACTGCTCTCAATCGGCTTTGCAATACGTAAGAGTATTCGTCGCACTCGTGGCAGCGAGGCAGCGTGGCAGCACTGTTGCAGTGGCAGCTGCTATGGAAACTGTAACTGCAACTGCAAACTGCAGCAGTATTGCCCGTGGGGGGTGAGCGGGGAATGGCATATAATTATGGGGAAAGCACAACTTGCATGCAGCTGTGGCTGTCAGCCACATATTAATATTATTATGACGCCATTAATGCTTGTCGATGCATAAAATTATAGATGCGCTCTTTAGATAGTGCTAATTAAATAATTAAATATGCTTTAGGTCATTGCCAGTCATCCGATTTATGAGCGCCATCGATCAGGCGCGACAATTATGCATTTCCAGATGCGGCAGCAACAGCTGCACGAAATCTATTTTTCACTTCTTTTTTTTTACAGCACATCCTGCTTCCCTTTTGCATGTTAAAAGTCCTATTTGCGAAATGTTATAATAATAATAAACTATAAATCCTAAATAAATCCCCACTGGCTTCTCTCATGTCCCTCGTCAGCGTTCCAATGGGAAAATAACTCTGAAGAGTAATTCATTAGGAGCTGCTCCGCCAGCTGCTGGGGCAATGCCCTACCTTGGCACCAGCCTTGAGTCCGGCATCCTCTGCTCCTGGGGATGCATTTCTCCTGCAAAGCAAAGCAAAGTTTTCGTTCCCCCTTAACTGCTTTTGAAGAATTAGATACAAGAGAACTCCCTCAGTGACAGATGGCGCTGCGACCAAAGTTTCACTTCAGCTGCCGGCGAGGCGAGGAGACTAATTTGGATGGCATTTACTCGCACAATAAATGTACAAATTTCATCAGCTTTTCTTAGGTAATCGCTTCCAAGAAAACTGCACCGGTGGACAGTCCACAGTGTACCCTCCCCTGAATCCTTTAAGAAGACTAAGCTGTCAAGCTACTGAGGGAAGGAAACGATTCAAGTATTCAATTGAACACAATTTCCGTATGGTGAAAGTAGTTTGCCAAAATGTCAGCATAATATTTTAATCCGATGAAGCTTATTTCTTGGCCATGTTTACCGTAACGGGGACACCGCGCACCAAAATGCCAAAAAATGCTTAATGTTGACGACAACTGACACAACCGGAGGTCACACGTGACAGCGATAGGAAAAGCGCTGGTACGGGTACAGGTGCAGGGATTGGGGGTAGCCTAAGTAGCTATAAGCTGGCTATCGATGCACGTGAGTGGCGGTGATGTCAACGGGGTTTAGTGGCTCAGTGGCAATCACGTGCCAAAGAAAATTGAAAGACTTATGCGGTGACCGACTCTGGCGACTCTGTGTACGGCAGTGCAGCATCGACAGCGCTCCATTGCGCCAATTAGGATAAAGGAATCGCTATAATTAAACTCCCGGCATGGGGTCCATCATTTGCCAATCAAACATCACTCTGGAAGGCGCTAAAATGCATAACCATGAAACGAAACCCAAGTAGCAAATAATAATCATGCGCCACGTTGGCCAAGATGGCGACAACAATCTACGGAAAATGGCTTTCTTGCATGAGCGGTAGACGGTGGGCGGTGAGGCAACAAGTTAATAGCAATAACCCCACTGCAAATATAAATACAACACGCACAAACCCATTAAAAATAATGTGAGGCAAAACACGCCCCCCCCCCCTCCAGCCCGTGACACCACAGCCAGCACCCCCCCCCAGTGCCAGTGCCATTGCCAGTGGAGTCTGAGCACCATCATTTGTCGCACACGAAACGCGTTAATTATGGCCATTGCAGTTTTTCCTCCTCTTCTCTCCTTTCCACTCTCCCTTTTTCCCAGCCCACCCCACCCACAGCATTCATTAATTATTATGCAAGCTAAGCGCTCGGAAAAAGTTTTTTTGGACAGGGCCCTCGCATACTTTGACATGCAAGCGCCAAAGTGTCAAATTAATTTTTAATCGCCCACCCAAGCCTCACCTCACGCTTGAATGTTGCCAAATAATAGATTTAGATGGGAACGAGGCAAGCCAGGACAAAAACAGGGGCAGTGGCAGGGCAGTGCGTGCATTGTAATTAAAGGTTTTGTGGAACAGCAGGAGCAGCAGTAGCAGCAGTAGCAGTAACTTTGGGTCAGCAGCTCTGAGCAGCTGGCGTCAGGGTTTAATGCAAATAGCCCCCCACAAAAGGTCAGACATCAAGTTGAACTCATTCAGGATGACATGTGTGTGTGTGTGTGTGGTCAGTGACCAAGGATCCTCATGCAGCCTCTACCTACGTTCTGGTTGATTGTTTGACTTGGGCTTAGTCGGTTTTGTCATCACCCCTACCAACAGCATCATCATCCACATCATTGCCAACCGCTTTGGGCCATAACAACGCTCTTTAATGTAGCGACAAGCATCTGACAGCAATCTATTGACATTTGACACTTGCAAATTAAACGCTTGAAGGCAACAACAGCAGCATCAGCACGGCACAGTAGTAGCAGTAGCAGCAGCAGCACCAACAGTAGCGGCAGCAGCACCAGCACCAGCAACACAATTTATTGACACCTTATTTGGGCTAGCACACACACGCATACACACAAAACGGTCCAACTCGTTTTGCGGTCTCCACATGCAATTTACATGTGTAATTTTTTGGCCGGCCCATCATGAAAAGTTGCCGTTCGTTCATTGCCAGTTGCAGAACCGCAGGACCATCAGCAGCAGCAGCAACAGCAGCAGCAGCAAAAGCGCACATGACAGCTGGACGACAACTTCGTTAAACGAGCTACAGTCTGAAAACCTTACACTGAGCGAAATTCCACGAATTTCAAAGGGTCTCAGCATCAGCTATTAGGCAGCTCTCTTCTGTCTTTCGGTTTCTATAAAAATTAAAACTTTTCGTAGCACAATTTTCAGTTTTTAATATTTTTTATCCACCATATTTATCCGCTCTTTTATTATTTCCACGTGTACAGATTGTCCAAGCTGGGTGAGCCCCGCAATGTGTGTGAGTTAGAGACCCTTTTGCTTTTGGACATAATCGATTTAGTGGTGCCAGGATTATGTTACTATATTCTAGGACACGCATTTCATCAACGGACCACCGTCATGAGTGGAACTGGAATAACCATCTCCAATGAATTATAATTAATGGTTGCGGCTTGAGCGGCAGCTTAGCGTTTGAAATTTATAGCGGGGCCACTTGGAAATTGCTTGGGCACAATAAATTTAAATTAGCACTAGGCATAGGACAGGACCAAAATACACACAATAAATAACTTGGCAAGGTCGTCGTAGGGGCCAAAGGATCCGTCAGCCCGCCCCCCACATTTGAATTTAGTGAAGAAATTATATATTTTTATTGCCTCTCATTATTATTGTGATTATTATTAATGCCGAGAGCCTAACATTTTTGCTCCCTTTCTCGGTTCGGGTTCTCTCAGCGCCGTCAAAGCGCAACACAAAACTTGCGTCATTAACATATTCACAGTCTATTAATTTACTGAGAGCGTGTTGTAGTCGCCATTGCACTCCGGTCTCAAGTCGCCTTTGCCGCCGTCGTCATCAACATCAGCATCAACATCTCATGCCCATTCTCGTTTGGTTAGTTTCACTCTCTCTCTCTCTCTCTCACTCCGGGCACATAATTAGAAACTTTTGCACTTAAATGCAAGTTGAGCATGCGGACCACTCGAATGAAAGCATTAAGCCAGAGTGCAGGCCAAGCACACATTTGAAAATGGCGCTCTAATAGCTGTATATGGAACTAGAAAGGGAAATATGTAGAACTGTAACTGAAACTTAAACTGAAACTGGGACGGTCTTCCGCTGAGGACTTCTCCGAATTATTAGCTAATGCTAATTGACCCAGAAGCTCAAATTCTTGAGATTTTTGGACAGATTCGCTTAAAATAAATGCTTTTATATT